TCACCATCTCCAAGTCCTCTCCTCTCTTTCTCTTTGAACTCCCTTCAAGCTGACTCTGAAGTCAGCATTCTATTCCAGCTACCTTGCCAGGGTTGCCAGTCAGTTTGCCAGTCAAACCAGTTCTCAGGCCTCCTATTTGACCTCAACGCAGCATTTGAACACAGCTGAGCACTGTCTCCTCTTCAGAACCCTGCCCTAAGTTGGCTTCCTGGACATCACACTCTCCTGGTTCTTCTCCTACCTCAAAGGTGGCTCCTTCTTATCTGTGCTGGTTTCTCTTGGTGTCAATATCTAAAGTTTGCAGGGGAGCCCAGAGTTCAGTCCCTTCCCCTATTTCCAAGTCTGTCTACACTGATACTGTTTACTCTCCCGGCTTTAAATATCATGTCCGCACTGACGATGCTTCCCTGAGCCTGGGACCTGCATCACTAACTCCCAACTCATTATCTCTCCTCAAGGGCCCATCAGGTGTCTTGCTTGTTTGTTTGTTTTTGGTTTTTGAGACAGGGTCTCACTCTGCAACCCAGGCTGGAGTGCAGTGGTGTGAACAAGGCTCACTGCAACCTTGACCTTCCAGGTTCAAGCCATCCTCCTGCTTCAGCCTTCCTAATAGCTGGGACCACAGGCACACATATTCGGCACACACGCTACCATATTCGGCTATGTTTTAAATTTTTTGTAGAGAAGGGGGTCTCACCTGTTGCCCAGGCTGATCTCCAACTCCTATGCTCAAGCAATCCTCCTGCCTTCGCCACCCAAAGTAAAGGAGAGAGATGCGAGCCACTGTGCCTGGCTTCATCAGGTGCCTTGAAGGTTACCTATTCAAGGATAACCTTCTGATGAGAACCTTCATTACACTTTGCCCCCAGCCCCATGACTGTGAGCCTCTTGAGGGGAGACACTGTGTTGTGTCACGTCTTCATGCCCAGTACGTACTGCCGGGTAACCACTTGCTGAATGAATGAATCAGTGACCAAGAAGATGCTGAGCAGAAGGAGGAGGGCTCAGGTTTTGAGGGTGGGGAGCACTGTATTCATGGAGTTTCTGAACTGAAAGGAGCAGCCTGTTCTAAGGTACAGTGGCAAGCTCCCCAGGAAAGCAGCCCTCACAGGAAGTGAAAGGAGAGGAGAGAGCATTCTGGGCGTGGGGCACAGCAGGGACAAAGGCCCGGAGGCTGAAGTGGGCAGCTTGTTGGGGAAAACCGTGGACCAATGGGCAGTTCACAAGAAGTCAAGATTAGAGATGTATATTAGAGCTAAGCTAACTCTTGAAAGAGCTTGACAGCTAGGCACAGAAACTTGGACATAGAGGTTGGGTCAGTGGAGAGAATTAAAGATTTTTGAGCAAACAGGCAACGTAGGAGAGCACAGGCGCTCCAGAATTTCAGGTCAAAACAACTGGGAGGAAATGTTGCACAAACAAGTGTTTCCTAAAAACGCAGCGTAATTTTTTCCTTCTTAATCCCAAATGTGACAGTCAGGCTAAATTTAGATGACACAGTGGGAGGCAGAGGCTAAAAAATAAAAAATGAAAATCAATAAATAAATTTAGATGACACAAAAGCTGGTGATAAGTAATATAAAACCACATTGTGAGAGTTATCCTCATTCAATGACATCAAAGAGTATTAGTAAGATGTTAGTGCTTAACCCCTTTATAATATGTATTTAATATCTGCCCCTTTCTTAAAAACAAAATGAGGCCAGGTGTGGTGGCTCACGGCTGTAATCCCAGCCCTTTGGGAGGCCCAGGCAGGCGGCTCGTCTAAGGTCAGGAGTTTGAGAGATGGCAAAACTCCATCTCTAGTAAAAATACCAAAAACAAATTAGCCAGGCATGGTGGTACACACCTGCAGACCCAGCTATTCGGGAGGCTGAGGCAGGACAATCATTTGAACCCTGGAGGTGGAGGTTGCAGTGAGCCGAGACTGTGCCACTGCACTCCAGGGTGACAGAGCAAGACTGTCCAGAAAGAAAGAGAGGGAAGGAAGGAAGGAAGGAAGGAAGGAAGGAAAGGAGAGAGGGATGGAGGGAGGGAAGGAAGGAAAAAAGAAAAGAAATAAACCAGTTTTGGGCACAGAGACTTTGATGGGCAGTAGTATCCAGCTGCAATTTAATTGCATTGGTTTTGTTTTTGTTATGTTTACTTTACCATTGTAGATAGTTTGTAGCAAATCGTTTAATGCTACTGTTAATGATACAGTTTAGTTTTTCATTCATCAATCATTCAGTAAGGATTTACTGAGCACCTATCGTATGCCAGGCACAGTTCTAGATGCAGAGGATATAGCCACAAACAAGACAGACCCAAATCCCTGCCCTCATGGAGTTTCCACTCTTGTAGAGGACAATAGACAATAAACAAAATGAGTATGTCAAGTAGATAGTACAGCATGGTGCTACGTTCTATGGAGGAAAGCAAAGCAGGGCAGGAGAAAGTGACTGCCAGGGTAAGGTCTTCCTCCATCTCCTTCGCATCTTCACTCACACGCCATCTTCTCCTGGGCTTCACGGGCTACCAATTTACCATTGCTATTTAAAACTTCCATTTTAGCCGGGCGCGGTGGCTCAAGCCTGTAATCCCAGCACTTTGGGAGGCCGAGGCGGGTGGATCACGAGGTCGAGAGATCGAGACCATCCTGGTCAACATGGTGAAACCCCGTCTCTACTAAAAGTACAAAAAAAATTAGCGGGGCATGGTGGCACGTGCCTGTAATCCCAGCTACTCAGGAGGCTGAGGCAGGAGAATTGCCTGAGCCCAGGAGGCGGAGGTTGCGGTGAGCCGAGATCGCGCCATTGCACTCCAGCCTGGGTAACAAGGGCGAAACTCCGTCTCAAAAAAAAAAAAAAAAAAAACTTCCATTTTAGCCAGGCACGGTGGCTCACACCTGTAATCCCAGCACTTTGGGAGCCCGAGGCCAGCAGACCACAAGGTCAGAAGTTCATGACCAGCCTGGACAACATGGTGAAACCCCATCTCTACTACAAATACAAGAAAAATTAGCCGAGCATGGTGGCACATACTTGTAGTCACAGACAGAATGAGACTCTGTCTCAAAAACAAACAAACAAAAAAACTTTCCATTTTATTCTTTTATTTTTATTTATGTATTTATCTGGGGATGGAGTTTCATTCTTGTTGCCCAGGCTGGAGTGCAATGGCTCAATCTCGGCTCACTGCAACCTCTACCTCCCAAGTTCAAGCGATTCTCTTGCTTCAGCTTCCCAAGAAGCTGGGATTACAAGTGCCCGTTACCACGCCCGGCTAATTTTTGTATTTTTAGTAGAACCACTTAGGCCTCCCAAAGTGCTGGAATTACAGGCATGAGCCACAGCACCTGACCAAAACTTTCATTTTAAATCGGTGGTCTGGGAAGCTCAGGAGAAGACGGCAAATGAGCAAAGGTGGGAAGGAGGCAGAGGAATGAGCTCCGTGGCTACACAGAAGACTGTTCCAGGCAGAGCGAACAGCAAGGGCAAAGGCCCTGTGGTAGGAATGTGCCTGATGGGAGGAGCTGCAGGAGGCCAGTGCGGCTGGAGAAGAGTGAGGACGGGGGAGAGGAGCAGAATCTGAAGTCGGAAAGGGATCTGGGGACCAGATCACAGAGGATCTTACAGGGCACGGAAGGGCTTCTGCTTTTCCTCTGGCCACAACGGTGCATCATCAGAGGGTTTTGAGAAGGGAGAAGTGACATTACCCGGCACTTAAATTTTAAGATGCCCACTTTGGCTGCTTATGCTAAGAATAGACTCCAGGGGACAAGGGCAGAAACAGGGAGACCTTTTTAAAAGGCATTGTGGTAACTTAGAAGATAATGGTTGTTTGGACAAGGACAGTAAAGGTAGAGGCGGTATCAGATTCTGGATGTATTTGAAGATAACACTGATGGAAATTGCTGACAAATTGTATGTGGGGATGAAAGAGAATTCACGGTGGGGCCTGATGCAGTAGGTCTCGCCTGCAATCACAGCACTTTGGGAGGCCGAGGCGGGCGGATCACCTGAGGTCAGGAGTTCAAGACTAGCCTGGCCAGCATGGTGAAACCTCATCTCTACAAAAAATACAAAAATTAGCTGGACATGGTGACAGACGCCTGTAATCCTAGCTACTAGGGTGGCTAAAGCAGGAGAATCGCTTGAACCCAGGAGGTGGAAGTTGCAATCAGCTGAGATCATGCCACTGCACTCCAGTCTGGGTGACGGAGCAAGATTCCATCTCAAAAAAAAAAAAAAAAAAAAAAGGAAAACAATTCATGGTGGCACCAAGGCTTTTGGGCAGAGCAACTGCAAGGGTGGAGGTTCCATTACTGAGATGGGGATGAGCATGGTGGCTCTGGTGGTGACAGGAATTCCATTTTGAATTTGAAATGCAGAGTGGACACCAAGTGGAACGGTCAAAGGGGTAGTTGTAGATGTGTCCAGAGTTTTAAGACACATATTTGCACTTTATTTATGTTCTCACTCTGTTCTCCAGGGTGGAGTGCAGTAGCGCGGTCCCGGTTCACCGCAACTTCTGTCTGCCAGGTTCAAGCAATTCTCATGCCTCAGCCTCCTGAGTAGCTGGGATTACAGGTGTGCACCACCATATCCAGCTAATTTTTATATTTTTAGTAGGGATAGGGTTTCACCATGGTGAAACCCTATGGCCAGGCTGGTCTTGAACTCCTGACCTCAAAAGATCCACTCCCCTCAGCCTCCCAAAGTGCTGGGATTACAGGGGTGAGCCACCACGCTGGCCACATATTTGTATTTTAAAAGTCAGCTGATATATCAGCTGTAAAATGCGAATAAGAAAAAAAAAAGGAGAAAAATTCGATTTAAAGAAAAAAATAACAATAGAAGTGGTATGAGTATATGGCAAAAATCACTGAAGTTGTACCGGAATGAGTAACCCTTGGGAAATACTCGGGCAGGCATGCAAAAGCCAGAGGAGCTCAGGGAGAGAAGGAAGCATGTGTGAGGGGAGGTTGATCCCCTTGCCGCCTCTCTCTTCCACTCTAGGGCAGAAATGCGAGCTGTGGCTCTGTGGCTGTGCCTTCACCCTTGCTGATGTCCTCCTGGGAGCCACTCTGCACCGCCTCAAGTTCCTGGGACTGTCCAAGAAATACTGGGAAGATGGCAGCCGGCCCAACCTGCAGTCCTTCTTTGAGAGAGTCCAGAGACGCTTTGCCTTCCGGAAAGTCCTGGGTGACATCCACACCACCTTGCTGTCGGCCGTCATCCCCAATGCTTTCCGGCTGGTCAAGAGGAAACCCCCATCCTTCTTCGGGGCATCCTTCCTCATGGGCTCCCTGGGCGGGATGGGCTACTTTGCCTACTGGTACCTCAAGAAAAAATACATCTAGGGCCAGGCCTGGGGCTTGGTGTCTGACTGTTGGTGTCTCTGTGCTGTGTGATTCCCCGTGAGCTCTCAGTAACTCACTGTCTCATGAACACTTGGACAGCCCTCCCCGCCCTTCGTTCTGAGTAATAATATCGTCAGTGTGAAAACATTCCATAGTTTAGAAGTAGACATTGCCGATACCGTGACTCAAGGCCACGGCTCTACAAAAAGAGAGAGAGGAAGCGAGAGAGAACAAAAACCAGAAACAAAACACGAATGCCTTTTCTTTAGATTCAAGGTCTCAAGATGGAATTGTGGGGACTGGTTAGGAACTGAGGTGAGTCCCAGGAGGTTTCATCCACCAGGGCCCAGATTCTGGGAGGTGCTGGGGGCTCAGAGGGCCCGACCCCTCGCCTCCCCTTCCCTCTTGCCCAGGGAACTCTTCCACAGGACAAAGCCAACATCAAGACTCAACTCCTCTAACTGGTACCTCTGAATGGGGCTGGAGAACCGGAGACCCCATGGGAGGTCCCTGAAGATCAGAAGGGGCTTCACGCTTCTCCTGGACATGGACTGAGACAGCACTGGCTTGAGCCAAGGCAGTGGCACCCAAAAACCAGGCCATGGTGGGGACGGACATCACAAGCACACTCTCTCATTGCCCGTCTGATTTGGCCCATGTGTTGGGTTTGGCTTTAACAGAAACCTCTGAAAGCAGCAGCCATCATCCTCTTCCTACCTTGAGTTTTTCCACCCTGTGAGGTGAGACTTTCAGTAAAAGCCACGTTGACCTTCTCTCAGAAGGTCAGTCCAGCCCAAGCACAGGGGCGGATCTGGAGGGGACAAACCTAGGTCCCCTCCCAGCCTCTGCCCAAGCCATCTCCTTCAATACCCACCCTTCCCGTCACTCCCGGGGCTACAGTCTCTGCATCCACGGAACCCACCCCGGTCCGGTCTCACTTTCCTGTGCCTTTTGCATGTTGGGAAAGGGTCTTGGTGTCACTGCTGCTCATGCATAGAAACCACCGAAAGCTCCAATAAAGCATCCAGGAGGAGCAGTTGCTTTTCATTTCTAAACCTGTCTTGTCCATCCAGTTCTCACTGCCAAGGGCTGGAGCCAGCAGGGTAGAGATGTGAGGTCTGTCTCAGTTCTTCACAAGAGACAGCAAGAGTTGACTCCTGGTCTCAAGTTGCTGGGTCTGGGGCTGGCTTCCACATTGACTTTCCAGGGCTCTGACCTTGACATTAACCCAGCTCATTCAGGGCAGCACTTCACAGGTTACAGGGCATGCCTACAACCATTTGCTCTCATTAACCTGTGCAAGGGCCAGGTGTAGTGACTCACATCTGTCATCCCAGTGCTTTGGGAGGCCAAGGTGGGAGAATTGTTCCAGGCCAGGAGTTCAAGACAAGCTTGGGCAACATAGTGAGACCTCATCTCTAGAAAATAAAATAAACCTATATATGGACCTCGGGGGTATTCAGGGCACATGCCCCCCACCCCAATTTCCCAGAGAGAAAAATGTGTTTAAAATGCCCAAAGAACATCAAATCAGGAGTATAATGTACAGAATATAGGGGACAGTTTTATTTACTTTGCAAAAAAAGTAATAAGAATTTGCACATCTTTTTTCATCAAGGTAAAAAGAAAGCTTAGTTATCTAGGGTCAAGACAGGGCGAAGTGGAACTTAGACACCATGAACACTGTCGGGCACCATCCATTTCTTCGGCTAATCAAACATTCACACAGACCCTGCCCACGCTACATTCAACTTCCACTCAAGAACATCATCCTCAATCCTCACAGGATCTACTGCCTTTCTGGAATGAGAACACGCTAAGCCTTTCTCCAAAAATGAGACTCACAAAGCCCCATCGGCCAGTAACATCACTCTAGATCACGCTGGATTCTCTTCTCATTCCTCCTCTAGCTCCAGAGATCACACCCATACCTCAATCTACTATAATATACCAATGAAAACATAAATTTGACCATCACTAGCATTCCTTATATACAATTACACACGTACTCATAGCTGCCACAGGTCTCATTTCTGTAATTGGTTCCAAGGCCACTGTTGATATTTATAATTTCTCTTTTGTTCACTAGCTATTCTAGGTTCTCTTTGCCCTCAGCCAGCACCTCAGTTAGTTGGGGTGTTTTACCTGGTGACATGGCTCAGACTCTGGTGGTCCTTGGATTGCTATGGTCTTCCATTACTATTGGATGTGGAAGTATGAGGGGGCACCGCAGACAATCCCCTATTCTTCCATCCTATCACTGTGCAGGAGTAACCCACTTTACCCCTTGTAATCAGCTCCATCGTCCCAGCATGTAGAGAAACACACTACTCTGCCTGTAGTTTCAAGGGTATGAGGAGCTCAGAATGGCCAAGCCGCAGTTTCAACTTCTAACTTCACTGAACCACTGAATGGTTCCCCAATAGATGTACTCCTCCCTTAGGAGCTAGAATTTCTTCCTCTTCTCTGTGATGGAAGGGGTTCAGTGGGATCCATCTGCCATGGATAGCCAGTTCGTGGGATCCATCTGCCATGGATAGCCAGTTCCTAAGGCGAATTGTGTCATATTGCGAACTGCACACACTCGGCACGCAGCAGTGATATTCACTAAATCAGCCTTGATTTGATAAATCAGAGGAAATCCCTGTTGTTATATCCATCTATAACCTTTAGCTCAATTACCGTGGCTCTTTTGTACATAAGCCTATTGAGCAAGCACTAGAGTGGCTGGGGAAAGAGAATGACAGACAAGCCACAGAACAAGGCATTTTGTCTATTGGTTTTTTGAGCAATGGTTTCCTCCACAGTGGGTACTTTTTGGGGGAACATACGTAGGACACGAATATCCTCCCATCCTGTGTCCATTGTTAGGGGCCCAGCCACATTCCTTTTCCCACAGAGCTTCTTGTTACCAGTCTCCCAATCTTCTTTCCATGTTCATGAGCATCCAGCCTAACGTCTGTCCCATGTCTATGAACAGATCTGTATTCCTGGACTTCTGTCTCTACCTTGGTGAGGCAGACAAGCAGACATACTGCTTGCAATTCTGTTCACTGCGAGGATTTGCCTTCTGCAATGTCTTTCAGGGCATTCACGTAGTGCTGCAACCATCCACTTCCAGGTGGCGCCAGGCCTAAGTTTTTTCTTCCTTCATCAACTGATCATAGGGAATTTGTCATGAGGCCTCTGGTATTGACTGAGGAAGAGGCAGCAATGTCGGGGAATGGATGCCATTGTTTCAGCTATATCACTTTCACTTGATGATAGAATGTTGCTGTATATGCTTAGCTTTATGGCTTGATGGATCAGCTGATACCCAGTTCATGATGGGGAGAGCAGGTTGTATAGTCACCTGGTGTCTCACGGTCAGGTGTGCAGTCTCTACCAGGGCCCAGTAGAAAGCCAGATACTATATCTTGGCCTGGCATGGGGGCTCATGGCTGTAATCCCAGCACTTTGGGAGACCAAGGAGAATGGATCACCTGAGGTTGGGAGTTCGAGACCAGCCCAGCCAACATGGTAAAACCCCATCTCTATTAAAAATACAAAAGTTGGCCGGGCACGGTGGCTCAAGCCTGTAATCACAGCACTTTGGGAGGCCAAGATGCGTGGATCACGAGGTCGAGAGATCGAGACCATCCTGGTCAACATGGTGAAACCCCGTCTCTACTAAAAATACAAAAAATTAGCTGGGCATGATGGCGCGTGCCTGTAATCCCAGCTACTCAGGAGGCTGAGGCAGAAGAATTGCCTGAACCCAGGAGGCGGAGGTTGCAGTGAGCCGAGATCGCGCCATTGCACTCCAGCCTGGGTAACAAGAGCGAAACTCCGTCTCAAAAAAAAAAAAAATACAAAAGTTATGCTGGGCGCGGTGGCTCAAGCCTGTAATCCCAGCACTTTGGGAGGCCAAGGCGGGTGGATCACGAGGTCAAGAGATCGAGACCATCCTGGTCAACATGGTGAAACCCCGTTTCTACTAAAAAAATACAAAAAATTAGCTGGGCATGGTGGCACGTGCCTGTAATCTCAGCTCCCCAGGAGGCTGAGGCAGGAGAATTTCCTGAACCCAGGAGGCGGAGGTTGTGGTGAGCTGAGATCGCGCCATTGCACTCCAGCCTGGGCAACAAGAGTGGAACTCTGTCTCAAAGAGAGAGAGAGAAAGAGAGAGAGAGAGAGAGAGAGAGAGAGAGAGAGAAAGAGAGAGAGAGAGAGAGTAGAAGTTCAGTTATCTTGGGGAGGTTTAGGCAGGAGGATCGCTTGAGCCCAGGAGTTCAAATCCAGTCTTGGCAACAAAGTGAGACCCCATCACTAAAATCTTTAAAAGTGGTGGGGGGAATTCTGTTATTTCCCATTGACAAGCTCAGTGGTGCAGACTGGCCAGTGTCTCCATTCACTGCCTTCATTCTTTCCATCGGTTACTTGACCTTCCAGTGCATTGTCTTCATCTGCATGGTCAAAACTTGGTCATGAGAAGCCTGCGTTTATGTATTAGGACAGAAGAGGAAGGAGGAATACATGCCCAATAGTTTAAGACCTAGACTGGAAAGAACAACTTATCACTTCTACTCACAGTCCACCTGTAAGAATGGAGGGCCACATCCTGCTGCAAAGGAGGCTGGGAAATGTAGTCTCTGGTTGGGTAGCCTATTGCTAAGGAAGAAGAGAACACATTTTGGTGGACGGCCAGCAGCCTTTGGCTTAAGGAATAACTATGAATGAGAAGAGGATCAGGTAGACTGCTGGAGAAAAAGGCAGACTGGCCGGGCTTGGTGGCTCACGCCTGTAATCACAGTGCATTGGGAGGCCAAGGTGGGTGAATCACCTGAGATCAGGAGTTTGAGACCAGCCTGGCCAACATGGTAAAACCCCGTCTCTATTAAAAATACAAAAGTTAGCCAGGCGTGGTGGTGCATGCCTGTAATTCCAGCTACTAGAGGGGAGGCTGAAGCAGGAGAATTGCTTGAACTAGGAGGCAGAGGTTACAGTGAGCCAAGATTGTAACACTGCACTCCAGCCTGGACAACAGAGTGAGACTCTGAGAAAGAGAGAGAGGAGATAAAGAGAGAAAAGGAAGGAAGGAAGGAAGGAAGGGAGGGAGGGAGGGAGGGAGGGAGGGAAAATGGTAGACTCAGTCTGGACTGGAAGACATTAGAAACCCTCACCCACCTGTTCTACATTTGGGACACCAAGGCCCTGCATGGGGTGATGTCTGGTTTGGTCAGGATCCCATTGTAAGAGGGCTAGAGCCCCAAGAGTCCTTTCCCTGGTCCCATTATTTTCATTTTTATTTCTTAAAGACAGAGTCTCACTCTGTTGTTGCCCAGGCTGCTGTGCGGTGGTGAGATCATAGCTCACTGCAGCCTCAAACTCCTGGGCTCAAGTGATCCTCCCACCTCAGCCTCCTGAGTTGCTGGAACTACGGGCGTGCACCACCATGCCTGGCTCCTGGTCCCATTCTGTCTCTCAGAACATCATGGAGAAAATCTAGAGTGGGAGACAGGAAGTGTCAATACATAAGCATTTACTCAGAAATCCATCAGCTGCCTAGCCTTCTGAGTTGCCATCGGAGGCTTCAGAAATGAAGAGCACGGGGCTATCAGAGTTCAGTAGTCAGGAAGACAGACAGCATTGCCAGGACTGTGGTAGTGGGCATCCCCACAATTTAGACTGTTAATGAAGGTCTCCATTATTGCAGAAGAATTCCTTCGGGGGAGGACAGTAAGGGATTCTAAAGGGCATATTTTCTTTAGCTCATTGGTTCTTCACTGCCAAAGTCACAGACTCCATTGCTCAGATCCCATCAGTCTAGCTCCAAAAACCTGTTTGGTTTCTTTCTAGCAACCTACATTACCTAAAGGCCTTAGTTTTCTCATCTCTGAAATGGAGCTGACAGTAATAGCTTCCATTCATTGACTACTAACTATGTACTCTGAAATTTATGTAAATTATTTCTTACCTCGAGAAGTGTAGTTTTTATGTTTCATGGATGAGAAAACTGAGGCTTAGAGAGTTCAAGTACTCAAGGTAGAAGCA